GAGAGAAATGTTTGTATGATGTATTTCTCTTAGATATTTATGACATATACTTGAAGCTCGTTTTGGGAGTAAAATAATTGCTCAAATAATATTACCATAAATCAAATAGGTTTAAATAATGTAATGATACTCGGCTTACAAAAAGTGATATTTATTGAGCTTTGTAGTTAACTGATTTTCCCTGTGTCTTCACATTCATTTTCCATATGGATATAGTGTATAAGATACCGGCCAATAATATTTGTATGACCCATCCAAGATGCTGGTCTGCATGGCCTACGTTGAGGAAAAAACATAAATTTCAAATCAGCTGGCAGAATCTCAGGATTAACAGCCATGTTTTACAAAAAGTACAAATGTACACTTGTAGATTCATCCTTTCTTAATACTTGTTGATATTCTTACAACTTGATATAACATTACCAAATAATGATTTGACATTTGTGTTTGTGTGTTTGAAAGGTTTTGGAAGAATCCAAATGCCTGGTGAGGAGTATCGTCATGTCAGTGTTGGAGGATGTGAATGAGAAAGAGTGCCAGATGTTGAAGCAGCTCTGGTGCTCAACCAAAGGACTAGAGGCGCTCTTTAGTTACCTGCATAACAAAACGTCTGAGAAGTAACCATTGATGCCCAGAAAAAGAATGTCCACAAGGGTTATCCACAGAAGGACATCCAGGATGAATGTGCTGTGATCTTAAACTGAAGAAAAGGTTAATTTAAGGTCTTTGTTTCCATCCATCAGCAGAGGAATTATCTGAGATTCTGTTTGATTACACGCATACCAACAATTCCTTCATGATCATATTTGCAACGTTTTTTTTCAGACCCTTAACTGTCCATTTGTGTATTCTCTTGGAGACAAAAAGCAAAGGTCCAAGTGTGCATTGCTTAAATGATCACTGAAGAAGGTTATTCAGGGAGGTACAGAGAGTTTCTGTACATGTAAGACATGTATGTGTCTATGAAATCAATGTATGAGTCTATGAAATCAATGTATGAGTCTATGAAATCAATGTATGTATGATAGAACATGATAACTCCAATAATATATCAGATATATTTATTTCAAGAGTCTATAGGGGAGTTTCTGTCTGTATATAAGATGCATTTATTCAGGACTTTCTTGGGTTGCTTATTGTTTGAAGTGTAAGCCAAAGTTTGCATGAGGACACAGTTTCCTGCTCTTTACATGCACGTTCATTCCTCTAGCCATAAACTCGTATATGTGCTCATGTGATCTATGGTTTCCCAGAAAATACAAGAAATCTCTGGAAAAGTCAGAGGGAATGGATTCATTTTTCCTACTGTGAAGCCTTTATTCGACAGTGTATCATCAGTACCTATCATTATTATAATCACCATACATTAGCTTCTGGGCCATGAAATTAAGATGAATGCTCTTGTACTAGGGTACTAATGAGTCCGTCTGGTGGATAAGTAAATTAAATATCATCCTCATACTGTCCACATCCATCTGTCTTTACTTAATCTCACATGCAGAAACAAGTTTAATTAGATTTTTATTTATACAAATTAAGTCTGATTGAGGTCAGGGTTTTTCCTTCAATTGGGATGGGGGGCTGAGTAAAATGCACTTGTTTTTTTTTTTTCTTACAAATCTGATAAGTGGAAATGAAAAACACTGGAAGTCTCATGCACATGTTAGCACTAAATATACATGAATACAAAATGACTGTAGAAGATTGAATGAACGGGCGTCATGTATCACATGGAAGGATTAGCGATGGATTTTTTTTTTTTTTTATCCAGTTTAGCTTGAGCTAAATGTAGTCGCGTTACATGCAGTACTATAGGGGTTATGACAAACATGGCTTCCACTTATAACCGCAGATCGTTATTGTGCGACATGGGTGATTGTTTTGTTGATTTAAAAAAAAGTTGATTGTGACTACAAAATGTGTAAATGATCTATATTGTGGATATGCAACATGTCATGTAGCTGGAGTCAACTTTGTCCTTTTACTGCATGTGACGATTTAAGATTTCAAGACCTATTTTTAATGCCATGTGTAGATAATATTAAGGCTTCTATTTTGGTTTACCAACAAAAAAAAATGTAGGTGTGTGAAAACTGTTCGTAAACAGATATTTGTCCGGTTTTGCAGTCGTACACATGCAGTACAGTATGATATACTAATGATGTAGACTGTTTGTGACACAGCTTGCATGTAATATACTGTACAGATAAATGTGTCGCCTGTCCGGATACCTTGTACTGCCGGGTATGTTTTTGTACCAACATTGTAAGTATTGTTAGAAATTGTGCAGTTTATTTTTGTATTTATTTTGAGATAACTGTTTGGATGTGCAGTGCCATGTGTGGTTTCTTTTGCTCCAGAAGCACCGACTCTCTAAATGTGATGTCTATATTATCCCAATTTAAACTTGCATAAAAAGAAACACTGATCATTTATCAATTCATAATTTAAAAAACAGAATATCCAAACACTGTTTCCACTTGAATATTTAATTTCAATTGAAATAATTCTATTATTATTTCAACCATTTTAGACTTAATGCTCTACTGGTGTGCTTAATTATTATCAGTTATCAATTTTATTTATAGCCATAGCAGATTAATTTCTGATACTGATAAATGATTTGATTAAGCAGACCAGTCACTTTGTCTGAGGCTGGTGAAATAAAACATTTAAAGCCTCACACTGCATCAGAATTTTCCCACAACCTTAAATCAAAAAGGGTCCCTACATTGACCTTTCTGTTATTCTCCCTCACCTGCAGGATGATAATCATTTATTTTCACACGTCTTGCTTGGCTAAAGGGCCCCATGCAGTGTGGAGAACTACCTGTTTGATGTGGTCACTGTGCAGAATCACTGAATGCAGATCATTTATGTTCACTGAGCATAATCACACAGATACCTTGTATATTTATTAATTAATTTATTCTAAAGGTTAACATAGTTTGCTTTAATTTTCAGTGTGTCGTCGTGTGTGAGATATAAAATTATTTACCTAAAATTAAATGTTTTGAACTCCTTTCTCTCTGAGGCATCTGATCAAAATTCCCAACAAAGCATGAATTTAAATGTGTCATTAGTTATTCGTTAATAACAAAGAAAGTACCCCCATTTCTATATTTATAAGAATATAATACAAATGACTGTTTTTTGACACTTTATTTTGGAGGTTTTTTTTCTTTTCATCAAATTCATCCCTTGTGTGTATTTCATTATTTGTTTTTTTTCTTTCCCCATATGGTCTCATAGCCCACCTTAGGGTGCCTTACTGTTTAAATATCTGTCGGAGATGGATCCATGTGTTGTGATGGGTAGAGTAAGCTGCTACAATAAACAAACTGTACTTCCAAAATGTATGTTGTCTTGAACATTTCTTGTTACTCCGTTTTGTCTCTAGTGTTCTATTAATTACAGTTCAGATTCCCAACATGGGGCACGTTATTTTTACTGCTAGCAAACATGGCAAGTGATGTGAGAGGACTTCCAGGTAAATGTTAGGCTGATAATGTCTACACCAGACCTCATAAATCAGAAAGTTTCATGTTACAGCATCACTTTTAATTGATTCCTCTATGAAACAGGGATGTTTGAGACGAATTCTTCAACAAATGTAGGATTGTTTGAGCATGGAGCCTTACTGGCCGTGTGTTGAGTGTATCTAGATGTGTCTGGCAAGGGAGGGGGGGCTTGAAATGATTTTCATCTGCCAAAAGGGGGCTCGTGGGAAAAGTTTGGGAATCACTGATGTAGGTTTGCAAAGCGAGGAGCAATACTTGAAATGAGAAGCTGTAGCCCTCCACTGTTGTTGTTGTTGTGTTGAAGATGGCATGCAAATGCTGCCGGGAAATCAAGAGATGATTCAGTGATGTAATGACGTGGCTCTTTTGCTGCCCATGGGAAAGCAAGCCGGTTCTTAGAGGGTTGGCAAGGTGAACCAGCATTAGAACTAGCACCAGCCCCTGGTTCACTTTGGTTGAAAAGAGGTATGAGATAACTACATTTGGAACTAGGAAGCAAACATTTACTAAATTATTTTTATCTAAAGGAATACAATCAGAAAAGTATAAGAGCACATGTTTAATTCACATCTTTTTACAAGGAGCTCTGAAAACCTACAGCAATGTTATAAAAGGATTATTTAGATATTTAAGAACTGAACTTCAGGGTAAATTCTGATTCATTTGTCGGTCACATCTCTCAGTGCTGTTGACTTTGTTGACAGACTAGCGAGATCTAGAGAGATACTCATGTTAGTCTGAGGAACTAAGGATACTTGTGCATAGGTAAAATAGGCCTGCAACAAGCAACGACTGGTGTTGAAACATGAAAAAAAAGTCCAAAAAAAAGTGACAAACTACTTTTAGAAAAAACACCCTCTATGCTAAGGAGAATCAAAAACTTGAATGTCCAGCCAACACTGATTCTGAGCCTGCATTTCATAGTTTTTCACAAGGCAAACAAAGGCTCAGGTGTCGTTCCCTGAGCTCAATGTGAACTTTCAGTCACGAGTGTGAGGTTATCAACTTATAGAAGCCAGTGGTCAGCCAATGAAATATCCAAAGGGTCAACCAGAGACCAAAGAGAGAGAGGTTGCATTACCAATTGTTAACATGTGAAAGAAGCTTCCCATTCAGGCCACATGATGAAACCTTAACCAGCTCTCGTCACTTAACGTAAACCATGAGAAGCTGTTAGGTCTGAATTATTAATGGACCTCTGAGCTTATATTCTCTTTACATCGTGATACGGGTTTCTATAGGAATCTACATCATATACTGTCGACTTATTCAATACCTCTTTGATGCCTACAACACACTGAAAGTGTTATTTTTGTTGAAGTTTACAGACTGCCATCAGCAGGCAGGGTTCAATAAATGTGAATTAAGTGTGTGACTTATTGACTACAATGAAAGGCCTTTTGAAGACCTGCACAACTCATGATAGAAACTTGACTCTTTTACAGTCTTTAACACATGCTTAATTAAAGAGGAGTCTACTTTTTTTCCCACACTTTATTTCAATGAACTTCACAAATCAATATGATTGCCCATTCACATAAACTTTCAAACAACAATGAGTCTTCTCACAGCGAGAGTTTCCAAAACCGCTGGTCAGGCTTTGGATCTTTTTCTTTTTTTTTTTTAAATCCTCGTCTTTGTCATGCATCCCTGAAACGGACTCTCCCTGCCTGTCATGAATTATTCAGGTGCCACAATATTCCTGAGGAGTCCTGCTGAATAAAATAATGGTTTGATGAAAGGGGTTCAGACATCATCTTCACTTCTCTCTTTGATAGAGCTGTGGTGTTCTGCTAACTACAGGGGGAATGAATAGTAAGCAGCATTCTTTAATCCAAAGTGCTAGTTGGTTTCTGTGTCGAGCTAAAATGTTCTGGCAACGCAGCAAGTTCTAATCAGTGCAGATTATATCAAGTATGTTATGGAGGTACATGCCAGAGGACATTTACTGAGTATGGTGGGCATGAAAACCAAATCACTGCAGGTATATGATCTCAATATTCTCATCAAACAGTCATGTTCCTGTTGAATAAAATAATAGAATCTTAATATTAATGTCAATAATATGTAATAAGAGGTCCATTTACTTGTTGATGTTAACATTCAAATGATACTAAGACCAGGTGAATAAAAAAAACCCACATGGCTCTGAATTTGCAACTAACAGAAGTTTCTATCATTCTTCTGTCTTGATATCAAAAGAGCAAAAGGAGTGTTAAACACTGACGCTTCACTCAATGTCCCATAAGTTCTGATTTATTGATTGTGCTGTGGAGGCGGCTGAATGTGTGCCACACTTGAGTCCATGACAAATTCTCCCCCAAGGGGACAATCAGATGTATCGTAACTGAATACTTTCAGCTTGTGGTGCCGTCTGTCTGGAAAGTATCCTTCAGAGATGCTCTTTATGTCCTTCTTTCAGCCTCTTTTTCATGTCCAGTGCATGCTGCTTACTGCGCTCCCGCTTATCCAGTCTCTGTTGAGTGGAGACGCAAAAACAACAACATGTAACATTACTTGTGGTGTCTGATTTGGCATGTCAACAAAGGGCAAAAATAAAACAAAACAATAATTAACAAACCTCTTTCTTCAGGCACTCACGCATGGCTCGGTCCACATCATTACACGTGCCGAAGAACTTCAGGAAATTGTGCTGCAGGTCAAATGAAACAAAGTTAAATCATTTGGTTTTCAGTGTGTGTCAAGGTTCCAGATAGACTTAGGAGCAGGACCTACCTCGGTGTGGCACTGCCTCAGCTGAGATATCAGTACATTACACTCATCTGTGTGCAGGTGAGGAGACAGGTCAGGGTGCATGCTGAGTTAAGGGCTTACTGTACCACTGCAGCAAGACTGAAAAACCACAAACAAGAGGAGCACAGACTGAGGAGCGCTGAGTTGACAGTTATTGTTACATATAACTGCAAGAGATACGATTTGGTGGGAACAATTTTTGAGTTTGCCTTTAACCACGGTTTTACATTGCTACCTTTTTTCATGACATAGGGATATGCTTGACATCACATACACATTCTATGACTATGATGGGCGTATATTCATTTTCAAACAATGTTTTAGTTCAAGGAACTCGAAGAAACCTACTCTCAGTATCCCAGAGTTCAAGGTTAATCTACGGCGATAAAGATTCACACTTACAATTTAATACACCTTAATGGTTTCTCCCACAAAATATATACTTATCCATAACTCAAAACCTGGAACATGTGCCTTGTTGGCATTTTAGCAGGATAAATAATTAGCTTAATTGTAATATACTTGTTAAATTTACAAATTATCCCTGCACTCATGTTCACTTCATTTGTCTGTCTACTCGCCGTTATTGTATAGTTTCTGCTTATAATATGTCTGCACTTTAACTTATGTCAATACTGTCCATTTACAACTCTGTTTTTGCACATTTACATTTAATCTTTCCTATTTAAGACTAGTAATGCTTAGTTAAATCCTGGTTGTATATATTCACATTCTTAGTTTTGATATTTTTAGTGCTTATTTACTTTGTATTTAATATTATATTGTGTTTAGATTTGCTAATATTGTATTTTTTACTCATATTGTGTGTTGGATAACCTGCTGCTGTAACACCATAATTTCCCAGTTTGGGATCAATAAAGTAAATCTATTCTATTCTATTCTATTGCTGTTAGAAGTACTCTTAATGCTCTTGGTTGTCAAAATAAGATTAGCACATATCAACTTAAATCAAGATAACACACTTACTGGATAATTATTAATACATGTTTTGGTGAGAATTCATGTGCTTAGGCCTATTTTTTATGTTGGGATGTTAATAGAAAAATGTCAAGCTTACGCCAGAAAAGAGACATGTTCGTGTGGGTCCAGCATTTCTTAAATACAAGTAGGGAAGGCTCCAGTGAAATATGTTGGGAATCACTGCTCTACCTGCACACACACACACTATAAGTCAACCCAGAATGATTTCAGCTCTGCACTGGAGAAATCTTCTGAAGGATACTAATGCCTCCCCATCCCTCTCCTTCCTGAGCTGTCATAGTGATGATGGTGTTTGTTTCCCTTGGTCACTTACCTGCAGACACAGAGAGAGGCAGAGAGTTACACAAAGCTGTGAAAATGTACTTTATTGTAAACATTTCCCCTTCAATTCTCTTGACCCATGTAAACAGTGCAGACTTGACTAGAATAATCTCATTCAAAAAACATGCAGAGTTGTGTTTTCACACAGGAGTGTAAATGAAAGGTTAGCTTGTCTTACTCGTACTATATATCTTCCAGGTTATATATTTAGTTTAATTTACTGAGATATTCTACAAGTCACATACCAGTAGGCTTTGGGTTTGATAACTGAATTACCCTTACCAGTGGTGAGGATGTATGATGTTAAGTTTTCTTGAAACCCACGGTCAAATGTTAGCTCGCTGCTAATTAGGCCTCCAATGTCTTCACTGTGTTTCATAAATCCATTAAATCACTGAAGTGCGGACAAAGGTTTCGTCTTTCTCCTCGTGTAGTAACGACACCGGTTTCTATAATGTCTCTACCACTTGATCTACTGGTGTCGCACAGACAAAACATGTAACCTACAAATGCAGAACGAACCTGTAGGACATGCCTGCGAAACAATTCTTCTTCTTCTCTCTGTTTATTGCGTTTGACAAACAACTTGCAGGTGCACTACTGCCACCCTCTGGACTGGAGAGTAGGTCAGAAAAGCTTTTCTACACTAATAGAATAGAATAGAATAGAATAGAATAGAATAGAATAGAATAGAATTACTTTATTGATCCCAAACTGGGAAATTGTGGCGTTACAGCAGCAGGTTATCCAGCACACAATATGAGTTAAAAACACAATATTAGCAATCTAAACACAATATAATATTAAATACAAAGTACATAAGCACTAAAAATATCAAAACTAAGAATGGGAATATATACAACCAGGAATTAACTTAGCATTACTAGTCTAAGATATGAAAGATTAAATGTAAATGTGCAAAAACAAAGTTGTAAATGGACAGTGTTGACATAAGTTAAAGTGCATGAGTGTAGACATGTTATCAGCAGAAACTATTCAATATAAGGGTGAGTAGACAGACAAATGAAGTGAACATGAGTGCAGGGATAATTTGTCAATTTAAACATGTGCAGAACAGATGACAGTATGGAGACAGATATTATCATGATGACAGTTCTCTGCTCACATGAGGTGAGCTGTTGTACAGAGTTATGGCCTTCGGTAAGAAAGATTTCTTGTATCTGTCCTTGTGACAGCGGAGTTGTATCAGTCTGTTGGAGAAGCTGCTCCGCTGTTTGTCCAGTAGGGTGTGCAGAGGGTGATCAGGATTATCCATAATGGATAACAGTTTGTTCAGAGTCCTCCTCCCTGTCACCACTACAAAAGAGTCCAGCTTGCAGCCTATCACAGAGAAGGCCTTCTTGATGAGAGCACTAACTCCTTGTAACAATTCCTGTACGCTCTAAAAATCTAAATACCATTTCCCCCTGAGTTCCTCTGCAGTATGTAGTGTTGTCTAACATCTCTAAAGTGTCTGTTCCACAACATGTCTTTCCAGTAACTTGCTGGTGCAACTCACAAATACATGTTCCACTGTTTCCTGAGGACCGCAATGATCACATCTCCCTGTTGCAGGGTTATTCATCACTTTTGAGTACTGTTCATACTCATTTTCACCAATAATTTCCTTCATGTGCTGTAGTAATGTCTGCCCTTATTTACTTTGTCCGACTCTTTCTGCCATTTTTTTTTTATTTCTGAATTGACTTTTTATTTCAGCTTTTCTATAAAAAATATATCTCTGTCTTCATAGCTGCATCTTTTACAACTTCATCTATATATATCATATATATATATGGCTAATTGTTCCCTGTATAGACTGCCAGGTTATCACAACTAAACCACTTCTTATCCTTCGAGGCATTTCTGCCACCTACTTGCATGGAGTATAGTCTATGGCATGAAGTGTAGAGCAGAATATGGTTTGTTACTTTTCTATAAAAATAATTTAAATAAATAAATAAATACAGTTAGTTTGTCTAAATTACTGTTATAGGATCATAAAGCACTTTTTAGAGATCTTTAGATTTCTATTATATTATTGTTATTATACTTCTCTCAAATGAATGAGAGTGTAGAATATTATGTTCCACTGTTTTTGCTCTTGTCCATACTGGTCACATAAGTCTGTGTTATTTTAAGTTACTTTAAATATCATATCAAATATCTATTTATGTTTGAAACTCCTCAGTTCAGCAATCCTCCACTGGATTCTGTAAAACCATCCACCTTTCCTTTCTTCTATTTCTTTTCCTTCAGTCTCTGCTTTACAATGACTTTCTTCTGACTGATGCTAACTGACTAACTAGTCATCTGTGGCCTCCTTTGCCACCTTAGCTCCTTTGATTCATATACGTGCTCATACAAATATGACTGTTATTTGTATAATCAGCAGTGAATCTAATCGGCAAAAATTCATTGGGAGCCCCTACAACCAGCATTTTATCACCATTTATTGTCTGCTCGTTTCCCGGCACTTAATTCCTCTTTCCCTCTTCATTCATTCATCATTGACAAATGTGGCGTTCAAAGCAGAAATGCCACACTTAGCAGGGCAACAAGAGGAAGTGCTGTCAGATGGGGCCCCTTTAGGGAGGTTTCCTACTGTCATTGCAAAATTTGCACATTTTGACCAGCTGCTGTGGTAGTTTGTTGGCACCTGGGAGCCCCCAACTGGCCCCAGGCAGTTACCTGCCTTGCCTGACTAGCAGAGCCTCTGTGTATAATACTGGATATATTTCTATCGGTCTGAATGACTGTTTTGAAAACTGGTTAGTGGTGAACTTGAATCTGAACACATTTATTTGTATCCTCTGTCCCTTACTGATTCTTTCTTAACAGTCACATAACGCTCTGAAAGTCAGTATAGGGCTGTAGCGCTGATACTGTTGGACTAAAGTTTAACTGATCTGCTCTATATTTTGTTGCTTTCTGTATCACTGTCCACCCAAAGCCATTTATTTCATTCTCCTTTTTCCAACAAGGTTTTTTTAGGGATCCTGTGTTGGATGATCTTGACTATGGCCCTGTGAATTAACCCAATGAGAGCTATATCCTCTTTATTTTTTACAGGCATTTATCCCATCTCAAACTGTATTCCTTTTTATGTATCCTTGTATAATCTCAATGATGTTAATGTTATCTCATGTCGTATGAGTTGTTCTAGCTGTTGACCCATAAACCACACAACCATAACCTAATACTACAGTAATCTTGTTAATCCAGTGCATTTGGCCTTCAGTGCAGTTCTGACAGCTCCCCTCTCACTTCCAACTAATTACCTCAAAACATTTAAGACGTTTTTTTTTTACACTGAGAATTTTCTGAACATATACAGCTCATGTAATTCTCTCATCCAAACCTAATAACGTAAAGTGTTTAACTCTTTGCAGTTGATTGTATAGTTTTAATTTCTCGCCACTCTCAATTCTCTTATTTGTAAAAGAAAAATTGCCCAAGTTTTATCCACTGAAAACTTCATTTATAGGACCACTCCTCTAATTTTCTCATTGCCTCCTGAAGTTTCTTTGCAATGAAATCCAAGTTTCTCCTCCACTTCCAAATTGCCCAATCATCTGCAAAAAGAAAGAAACCCCATCCCATTCTCGATTTCTTAAAATACACAATTTATTGAAAAAACACTCAGCTTTTTTTGTAACTGTTTAATGATATCAAATTGATTGACAGCAGTCAACAGTAAATTGTGGTTCTTTGACAAACCACCAATGATTTGCTCCTTTCCCAAAAGGCAGGACCTTTGATAACGTACAGTATCAGTACAATGTTTGGACACACCTGGTTGAAATGCATGTTATTATCTTAAAGACCTTTTGATCTTAAGGCTTATGCTTAAATATTTGACGTGTTTCATATATAAATAGAAATATTGAAGTTGATGCCTACATATGTATACATTTATTTCCAAAATTAAACTGAAATGAAATGTTGAATTGTTGTTGTTTTAATATCTACTATAATTCTAAAATGTGGAAAATAGTAAAAATAAAGAAAACTCTTTAACTATTAGTTGGTGTGCCCTAGGTACAGCTTACATTAGCTATATTATAATAATATAGTATACTATAGTTTAAAATGTTGAAAACCTCAAAATATATAATTAAGTTATTAATGGCTCCACCCCATCTCCTTCTCTCATTGGATGCATATTTGTGTATTGGAGGTGTGAACATAGCAGTATTGAAGTGCTAGCTGAGACTGTGATGGGGGATCCCCATTGTGATATCTTTTCATGGGGCCCCGAAATCCTGGCAACGCCCCTGCTTCTTCCACCGCTGTACAGATGTTACTAATGATCCTGTAGTACTATCAGGGTACTTACTATCCACAGCGGAACTATGTTGTAGCATTAACACTCCAACACAGCAGAGGGCGCTAAAGGGAAAGAACGTGAATTCAAGTCGACAGCTGATTGGTTGATTCGTGTGCTCCGTGGTAGGCGGGATGTTTTATAAATATTGGACTGTACTGTTGCCACCGTGATCAACCGTGAAAACAAACCAAACTATCCTCCAAATCATAGACTGACACTGAAAACACAGTTTACATAATTATCGGGTTCTGTCTGAGGCAGAATGGGCGAGTCTGTGAAAACTTTGCTGCAACGACTGGTCAGACGGATACCGAGTGAAGTGTTAAAAACAACTCTGGACAAGTGGGGCCGTCTGACCGCACAGCAGCAGCGAGCCTTAGACCTCACCCAGCCCAAATGGACCCTAATGGAAAACCTATGGGCCATTTGCGAGGTAGGAGAAAACCTTCTTTTTGAAAACTTGATCGTTCATGTTAAACCCGTCCAACTTGATAAGAAGCTAAGTTCATGCATTTAACAAAATATACTACTTGATGACATGGGGCGTAACACTTACCTACAACAAGTTACCTCGTGTCATGTGATCTTTTGTGTTTTCAGGAAAATGAGTGGACACTCAAACGCATCACAGAGCTCGAGATGATATGTAAGTTAAATTAAATTATTTTGTCATAACACTAAGATATGATGGTAATTCATCATGCTATCAAGTCTACATTGTGTCATGTGTTGTTGTGCTTTCATTGTCTCTCAGACGTCATTGAAAATCCAGACCAGGGAATGTGGTACGCTTACCAACTGTTGGACCCTGAAGGTATGTGAAAACATCAACATGCATCTTGTACTGTGAAGGTGAAAGTCTGCAGCTTTTCTTTTGTTCTTTTGTGTGTGTGTGTGTGTGTGTGTGTGTGTGTGTGTGTGTGTGTGTGTGTGTGTGTGTGTGTGAAGATTGTTGATAAATACTGCAAACAATTAACGGCGGACGTTCCCTTTTTTACCCACCATGAGTTGGAAATGACTTAAAATTTCCTTCCAGTGGCACTTTTGGTTGTTAGATTGCCACTACAAATGTCTCTGCTATATCCATACCTTGTGTTTTGTACTTGTTTATATTTTCTCTTTTTTATTCCAGATGATGCTCACTGTGTAGAGTTGATACAGTTCAAGGAACTATTCAGATATCACCTCAGGGAGCTTGTAAGACATGTAAGCCACATCTTTCTCCTCACATAAGCGACA